ATATATAAAATCAGTTTGTTCTTTGTCTTCCGTTGAATTTATCTTTTATGGAATTTAGGCTTTGAGTCATAATTAGAAATACTATAAAGGAATTCTCCCATGGTTTCTTCTTTGGATTTTACAGTTTCATTTTTGACATTTTAATTTTTGATTCAGCTTATCCTGGTTTATCTTGGTCTCGTGTAAACTATGTTCTTTTTTTTTTTTTTTACTATTCTTGATTTTCACTTAGAATCTGACTCCCAGTGAGATGGGACTCCACTACACTCATTTGAGGACAAATCCCCCATTTCTGTTCTTAGGTAAAGGAGCACACGGTGATAGTAGGCCACCCAGCTTAGCCAGTGCAATGAAAAGAAATCTCCTCACTGTACCTCCTGTAAGTAATAGTACAATTTCCCTCTTCAGTGGACCTCTTGGGAATATGGGAAAGGAAACACTGCAGCTTTACCTTGGAAAGTGGTAAAAAGTGCAGAAAAGTCCTGAGAAAAGTACACTCCATTCATTGGGGAGTGAACTGGGTTCTCTTGTAGCAAAAGAAAACTCAATGACAGTGAAGGACCAAGGCAGCTGGAAACTGGGACAGGAGCTAAATGAAACACATTTTGAATTTAAACATGTTAAAATCCAGCTAAGAGGCAAGGATTTAAATTTTTTAGGATTCAAATGCCAAGTTTGAAATTTGATTTTTTCCCAGTGGTTTCCCTTTAGGAAAGCCAGAGGCATTTCAAGTGTACTTAAGGCACAGTAGAGACAGGGACTAGGCACAATTTGTGAGTGGCCCAATGTGAGCTGGGAGGGATGCTTTACTAGACAGAAGGATCTGGGGTAAGAGAAAGAAAGGCAGCCATCCAGAGCACCAGGAAGGATCAGGAAGACCAGAGCTCTGGAATGACTAGACTTTTAAGAGAGAATATGTCTTCTAGACTGTGTTCTCTCCACAGCAGCTGGGAGATGCCATACAAGAGAAAAGGGTTTCACGAGGACTGTGATAACAACATGCTTTGGAACGTTCTGAAAATACTTGTTGCCAGATTACTGAGCAAGACTGAACAGATTCTTTATACCTGAATGCTCACAATCACAGGCTCCACATCTTGGTACGTGATCTTCACCTTTCTGGTAGCCTCCTTGGCATGAGCATATGAATCAGCAGCCACAGCACAGATAATCTGACCAACACAAACCACCTGCAGAGAAACCAGACCAAGAAACATGCCAGACACAACCAAAATGCACACTAGAGAGGTCCTTGTCAGTGTGGGGGTGACATGCCCTGAGATGATGTGTGTGGAGTTGGGGTGGAATGCTAGTGATGTGGCCTTAGGCAATGTACTAAAACCCTTAAGACTCAATGTCTTCATCTTAAAATGGAAATAACCAGGTTAAATCGGTCCAGCAACAATGCTGCTGTTGCTAGCTACTGTGGAGTCAGCTCCCAACTCATGGAGACACCATGCACAGTGGAACAAAACCCTGCCTGGCCCTGCACCATGCAGCTATAGCAGGTCAGTCCATGCCAGTGGGAGTTACCAGGCTTGCCCATGATCAAATGGGATCTGACTGTTAAGAGGTGAGAATTCTACCATTGAACCCACAATGCCTCTCAAAGTAAGGTTATTCCTAAAGTTGGTAGGAAGACTATAATGATCATATGTATAAAAACCAAAAAACAAAATCCAAACTCACTGCCTTCCAGTCGGATCTGACTCATAGCGACCCCTCCTTGGGTTTCCAAGGCAGTATCACTACGGAAGTAGATTGCCCAGTCTTCCTTCTGGTTAGCAGTCAAATGCCTTAGGCACTATGCCACCAGAGCTCCTGAAAAATAGTCAGTGTCATGGAATAACAGCTGCCACTATTGCTAATCCACTGAAAGAAGCTTAAGCACTGTTATCAGACTACCTCTTCCTGTGCATACGGTCTTTCTTCTTCACTGCCATTGTCACCTGGCACATTCTGAGCTGTTATCACATCCACCACACCAGGTAATGTCAGGGCCTCAGAGGCATCGATGGAACTGGGAAAGAAACAATACCACAAAGGCACAAAGTTATGGGATATGTGGTCTCTCTGCTATGGAAATTGAATGGTGCAAATAGTCAATGTGCTCGACTGCTAACAGAAAGGTTAAAAGTTCAAGCCCACCCAGAGGCCTTGGAAGAAAGGCTTGGCAATCTATTTCCAAAAAATCAGCCATTGAAAACTCTATGGACTACAGTTCTCCTCTAATAAACATGGGGTTGTCGTGAGTCGGAATTGACTCGACAGCAACTGGTGGTCGTGGTGGTAAGTCCCAAGAATCCTACGTAATTCATGTGAATGCCACCAGGTAAGCCCACAATGGGAATTATGGCAAAAACATGCTAATATTATAGGCAGTTGAAAATATTGCTTTTACTGGATGCAGAGGTGCTAAAAAGGGGGGATTCTTAGGAAAACATTTTGTTATTCTCACCTTTCACGAAGACATAGACTTGAAGTTTCATAAACTAATGCCCAATTGGTGGCACTTTTAAGAACTCAGGTTTCTCTGAAGATGGACATCCAGAAAAAGGTAGAGAGAATTATAGCTCTTTGGGGATTTCATGGGCTGAGGACATGGTTCTCATCCCTTTAAATTCTCAGATAAATCAGATACCAACCCTTTATCTTAAGTAATTTACTCTTTTATCTACTCTTAAACTCAAATTTTTCTTTCTTCTCTTTGATTTTCTTTTATCAAGAGACATGCTGGGATTGCTTTTTCGTGAACCACTTCAATGTGCTGGATCGTGTAAATCCTTAATGGATAGGTGCTTCCTTAAGTTTCTGTTATGGTGAAAGTTGTGTGTCAGTTTGGCTGGGCTGCATTGATTCCCAGTGGTTTGGCAGTTATGATACTGTCGTCTCTATGACATCTGATGTAGTGTAATCACCTCCATGATGATTACATAAACAGCTCATCAGTTGAAAGGGAGTTTCCTTAGGGATGTGGCCTGTTTCTAATATATATGGATGTTCTGGCAAAGCTCTGGGTTTCTACTCAACCTGGATCCTGCATTCGGCTCATCATTATCTGAGCTCAATTATTTGGACTTGAGCCTGCAACCTGCCATACTGCTTGCTGAGCTTAGGACTCATCAGCCTCTGCAGGCTGTGAGCCAGCAGCTCGCCATCTCACTGTGATCTTGGCTTTGTCAGCCCCTGCAGTGATATGAATCAGGAGAAGCCTCTAGCCTGATGTCTGACCCAAGGACTTAGGACTCCTCAGCCTCTACAACTGTTATGAGTTGGAGCTGACTAGATGGCACCTAACAACAACAACAACAACAACACAACTTCACGAGCCATTTCCTTGAGATAAACCTCTCTCTCTAAGCTTCACTGGTTTTGCTTATCCAGAGAACCTAGCCCAGGACAGTGTCTGTTAGGTATCATTGGCTTTACCACACTTCTTTACTTACATGAGTTTAGCATGTGGTTTGGTGCTGGTTACCACGGCCAGAAAGAGTTCTTCTGCAAAGGCAGGCATGTCATCACAAAATACAGCTTCCCCCATGGCATGCTTAATACCTGACTGATGCATGATGGGCCTTCCAACGGGGTCTTGGGGGTGCTGCTGGGGACCTACACACAGTGTTTAAAAACAAAGCAAAACATAAAGCAAATTGATCAAGCATGAGTATTTATGGGGTAGAAACATCTACCAGGAAACTGGTGATTCTTTCTCTACTCTATGTAAAGCCAGCCTTTCCAAACTAGTCTGATTGGAAAACTAGCTTAAACTGGATTCTTCTTCTTGCTCATTATTTATCTACACGAAGGTAAAGAGAGTAAATATGATGAGGATGAGACGGGTGGGGACTGGACCATGAGTGGGGACTGGTTTTGAGACAGCTATTGTTGTTGTTTGCTGCCATGGTGACCTCGTGCAGAACAAAACAGAACAGAACAAAACACTGCCTGGTCCTAAACCATCCTCATGGTTGATTGCGGATCAATCCCCACAGGGCTTTCATTGACTGCTGTTCGGAAGTGGATCGATCACCAGGTCTTTCTTCCCAGTCTTTCTTCATCTTGAAGCTCTGCTGAAACTTGTGCTACATCATAGCAACACACAAGCCTCCAGTGACAGAAGAGTTCTGGCTGCAGTTCAGGTGCATTGGCTCGGAACTGAATCCGGGTCTTCTGCCTGGAAGGGGAGAGTTATATCACTGAACCACCATTGTCCTATCTGTGATGGTTAGCAGATGGAAACTCTGCTTTCTGAGAAAACCTAATGTTTTATAAAACAGATTTTAGTGAAAGGCCACTTAAGGTAAAATTTTCCAAGTTCATGTGCTCTGGTTAATGTCATTTTAAAACTCTGCCGCTACGATGTCTCCCTGCAGACAGGGAGGCAGTGTTGAGGAAATGAGCATCAGACTGGAAAACAGGAGACATGGGTTCTAGTCTCAGTTCTGCCACAACGAGTTTCAAACAGGAATTTTTTGTTTGTTTGTTTGAAGCTCTTTGGGCTCAATTTCTGAACCTGTAAAATGAAAGTGTGAGATTAGATCCATGTTTTTCAGCTAAAACAACATTATGAACTTGTAAAATAGAAAAGAGAATTTTTACAGACCTTGTTGTTGTTGTTGTTATGTGCCGTCGAGTCAAACCCGACTCATAGCGACCCCTCCTTGGGTTTCCGAGGCAGTATCACTACAGAAGTAGGATTGCCCAACCTTCCTTCCGAGGAGTGGCTGGTGGGTTTGAACCGCCAGCCGTCTGGTTAGCAGGCAAGCGTCTTAGCCACTATGCTACCAGAGCTCCCTTACAGACCTTAGAGTCTAGGAATTTGAAGTTGGGTGGAGGTAAATTCTTACCTTCCCCTATTCAGACAATAGGACAAGAGTTAAAGGATCTTTAAGTGGTTTCAGTTCTTATATTCTGTGTAGCCAAAGTCACACTGTGAAAATGCCTGTCCCCTGCAGATGTCTTCTGGTGAGGCTGGGGATGAGCACTGGGCAGTTGTACAAGGGCCAGATTTGCAAAAAAAGGCTTAGAGCTGTCAGCATCTAACCTCCTCCAACTTCTCAAAGGGGACAGAGAATCAAGGACCATGTCAACAGCCCAAAGCTGATTCCTATGAGGCAGAAGCCAGACACACTGCCATCTTCTGACCTTTTTACCAATTTTGAACCAACCCACAGCATTCTCTACTTCTCTGCTGGGTTTGATAATTCATTGCAATGGCCACATAAAATGCAGGGGCAATATTCACGATTACGGGGTTTATTAGGGAAATAACAGGTTACAATCCAGGACCAGAAACAAGTCAGGATACAGCTCTTCAATCAATACAACTTCTTCTCAGCCATATTACCAGCCTGCTTCTCTCTGGCTTCAGCCTCTGCTCTGCTTTGGCCAGTGTTGCAAAGCTCTTTTATCTTTGCTGATAGGTACTCAAAGAGGCACCTCACTCCTCTAGCAAGCCTCAAGTCCGAAGGCACTCAGCTTTCTCACACCATAGACTGGGAAGCCCATCACTCCGTCTCATGCTGGTCTCGATTCTGCTGCCTCTGTTGCTGCTGTCTCTCTCTGCCTTCTCTCTCTTCCATCTCTCTGCCAAGGAGGCCCAGTGAAGGGATCCAAGGACATGGTCCACACTTGGTTCTTCTTCTCTCTTGATGTCCTCTATCTTCCCCTCTGGAATGGCTTATTTTAAGCCTAGCAGAATGGCAAAACTGATCAATCCCCATGTTAGGGTTCCATACACTTTATTTGCATGGTCCCACCTCCACAAGGGTGCCATGTACCTTATTTACATTACTAGCAAGCTATCCAATCCTCTTGGAGGGCCACAAAGCACCTCACATCTGCGTAGTTCCACCCAGTCATCTGGTGGGAACCACAAAGACCCTAGCTAGAGGAGCCATACCAAGTAATTCACTGCACTACTAGAGGATTCTTCTCTGCTGTCTGGTAAACCCTATGGACTAACCATCAAGCCAGCTACCGCAGGTCAGTCCATGCCAGTAGGAGGACCAACGATTGGCTGTTAATGTAAAGGATGGCAGTTCAAACCCTCTCCTTGGCTCTGCAGAAGAAAGGTCTGCAAAACTGCTTCTGTGAATATCACAGCCAAGAAAACCCTGTGGTGCGGTTCTGCCCTGTCACACGGGTCACCATGAGACAGAACTGACTCAACAGCAACAGTTTTGCTTTGTTTTGTTTTTTAATGTTTAATACACTATGATGTGCCTCCTTCCCTGAGGAAAAGTGGCTTGTGGCTGACAGGGTAGACTGGAATGGATCAGTGCAGAGATGCCACCTCCACAGTCAGCTGAGTTGGGCATGGGACTGACTGTTTTAGTGGGAGCTGAGGAAAAGTGCCTGCCTGAGCCCCACTTCACTGACGCAGACGGAATTCTACGTCCTGTGTGAGGATGGCCCAGGACACAAAGGAAGGTCCAAAATGCTAGACCAGAGGAGGGCAGAGAAATGGGGTCTGAGAGGAAGAGAGCCTGAGGCAGCAGACGGCAAAGGGAACCGGTTCTGACCCAAGTGCCCACATGTAAGGTGGAGGAAGGGAGTTGGCCTAGTCTTTTACACTTATGCCCTGATTTTATTTGTCATCTTCCACTCCCAACCTCACCTCATTTCCAACCCCAAAGCCATTCAGCTAGTGTAAACATGTTTGTTCTTATCTACTTAGAAATGTAAATGAGAATTATTTCCTGGTTTCTGTTCCCTTTGCTTAGTTTATTGACTATCCGGAAAGGGCTCTCAGGGACAAAAGCCGGATTTTGAGCTCCAGCTGTTTATTCAATGTCAGCTTCTTGACAGAATGACCTGATTTCATTGGCTCCAACTCATAGCAACCCCATGTCCAACAGAATGAAACACTGCCCAGGCCTGGCCAGCCTCACAATCCTTGCTGTATCTGAGCCCATCATTGCAGCCACTGTGTCAATCCATGTTGTTGAGGGTCTTCCCTTTCTTTGTTGACCTCTCACTTTACCAGGCATGATATCCTTCTCTAAGGAACAGTCCTTTCTGACAACATCACCAAAGTAGGTGAAATGAAGTCTGGCCATTCTCACTTCCAAGGAGCATTCCGGTTGCACTCCTTCCAGGACAGATTTGTTCGCTCGTCTGGTAGTTCATGGTACTTTCGATATTCTTTGCCAACACCACAACTCAAAAACATCAACTCTTCTTTGGTCTTCCTTATTCATTGTCCAGCTCTCATATCCATATGAGGTGATTGAGAACATCATCCCTTGGGTTAGGTGCACCTTAGTCTTCAAAGAGACATCTTTGTTCTTCAGAACTTGAAAGAGGTCTGTTGCAGCAGATCTGCCCAGTGCAGCATGTCGTCTGATTTTTTGACTGCTGCTACCATTGGTGTTGATTATGGAATCATGTAATATGAAATTTTTGACAACTTCAATCTTTTCTCCATTTATCATGATGCTGCTTATTGATCTAGTTGTGAGGATTTTTATTTTCTTTATGTTGAGATGTAATCCATACTGCAGACTGGTGTCTTTAATCTTTACCAATAAGGTACCTCTGGTAGATGGCAGAGATAAGACTCTTGTAGGGTTGGATGCACATATTCTGGCCTAGATTGAACACCTCAAAGATACCATTAGCCAGCTGTCAATTTATTACTTATAGTCCCAAAGGAGATAACAAATACTGATAACATATCTTCATTCTTATTGCACTCTGTCACCTCAGAAACATCATTAGAGAAAAGCTACCTTTGTAGAACCAGGAAAAACAAAGTACATGGAGTCCTGAACATGAACGCTAAGGACCATAGTCTTGGGAGATATCTAGGTCAATTGGCAAATACAGTTCGTGAAGATAATGTTCTACATCCTAGTCTGGTGAGCAGCATCTGGGGTCTTAAAAGTTTGTAAGTGGCCATCTCAGAAGCAGTTATTGGTTTATTCTTGCCTAGAACACAGGAGAACAAAAGAAAATGAAAATTCAAAGAAGCAATTAGTCCAAAGGGCTAAATACCTACATGAACCATAGCCTCCTGCAACCTGAGACCAGAAGAACTAGATGGTGACCAGCTATAATTACCAACCACTCTGACCAAGACCACAGTAGGTGGTCCAAGTTAGCATGGATTAAAAAAAAAAAAATGTAGAAGAAAATTCAAAGTCAAAAAAAAGAAGAAAAAAGACCAGACTTACTGGTCATACAGAGACAACAGGAACCCCAAGACTATTAGTTAAAACAAAAACTTCCAACTTGTAACTGAAGATACTCTTGGAGGCCACCTAGAGGAACAATAGGACAAAGGATGTGCTCCTCAGAACAATCAACGGTATGAGATCACTTGGGCAACATTTGCCCCAAACCAAAGATGAGCAAATAGGGAGGCACAGGGAGAACCCCGAGAAGAAATAGAGAGAGTGCTGACACATTGTGGGAATTGCAGTCAATGTCATGGAACAATTTGTGTATGAACTATCAATTAGGAAAACTAATTTACTATATAAACTTTCACCTAAAAGCACAATAAAATGTTAAAAAGAAAAAGAAAACAGTAGAGGCAGCAGAGGAGGCTCTGCCGCCCCCTGCTGCTGGCCTCTGGTAACTGCAAAATTTTGTTCTAAACTTTTAAGAGAATATTTTTTGATTTCTGAATTTTTTAATTGAGAGTATGCTTGTAAAAAACTTTAAAAAGTCAGAATTAATCAGAGGTGGGTAATTATTATCAAATTCTTAAATTTTTGCCAATACAATAGGTGAAAAATGCTATCTCATTGCCATAATTAACTTATATTCTAAAGTAATCTGAGTGAAGTTCAATATAGCTTAATATTTTTTTCTCAGTAATCTGCCAGTAGATAGACTTTACTTTCCTTAAAAAATTATTTTTAGGTTTGTTTATGGATTTTTAAAAGTATTTGCTGAAAATATGTTGGTTTTTTTTTTTTTCCTTTTTGTACTAAATTTTTTCTTAGGTTGTGCTCATGTGAAACCTGTACATGGATAGACCTAGAAGCAGTTGTTCAAACAGAACAAAGGGCTTTTGTGTGGTTTAAAATCAGGAAAGATATGTGTCAGGGCTGTATCCTTTCACCATTCTTATTTAATTTGTGTGTTGAGCAAATAATTCGAGAAGCTGGGTTATATGAAAAAGAATACTGCATCATGAGAGTAAGAAGTCTCATTAACAACCTGTGATATACAGATAACATAACTTCACTGAAAGTGAAGAAATGATGAAAATCAAAGACTACACTTTTCAGTACGGACTACATCTCAACAAAAGAAAACAAATATCCTCACAACTGGACCAAAAAGCAGTATTACGATAAATCTTTTCTAAGATGAAGTTGTCAAGGATTTCATTTTATTTGGATCCACGATCAATGCCCATGGAAGCAGCAATCAAGAAACCAAATGATGTATATTGCATTGGGCAAATCTGCAGCAAAAGATTTCTTTCAAGTGTTAAAGAATGCTTTGAGAACTAAAGTGCACATGACCCAAGCAATGGTATTTTCAATTGCCTCATACACATGAGATGCATTTGAATTATGATATTGGTGAAGAATATGGAATATACCATGGATTGTCCAAAGATCAAACAAATCTATCTTGGAAGGATTACAGACGGAATGCTCCTTAGAAGCAAGGATGGTGAGAGTTCATCTCATGTACTTTGGACGTGTTATTAGGATGGAACAGTCCCTGGAGAAGAATAGGAAAAGCTTGTTGTTGTTGTTGTGTGCTGTAGAGTTGGACCCAATTCATAGTGACCCCTCCTTGGGTTTCCAAGGCGGTATCGCTATGGAAGTAGATTGCCCAATCTTCCTTCTGAGGAGTGGCTGCTGGGTTTGAACCGCCAGCCTTCTGGTTAGCAGTCAAGTGCCTTAGGCACTATGCTACCAGAACTCCTGAAAAGCTTAGGGTCAGTGAAGAGGAGGAAGACCTTCAGTGAGATGGACTGACACAGTGGCTGCAACAACGAACTCAAACATAGCAATGATTGTGAGGATGGGGCAGGACCGGGCACTGTTACATTCTATTGTACATGGGGTTGCTGACTTAATGGCATCTAAAAACAACAAAGTTTTTCTGTTGTATATAATCAACTTTATCAATCTTTTCCTTGTGGCTTCTGAGTTTCATGTTATATTTAGAGAGAAGTTCCCTAAACTATGGATTTACCAAAGGGGAGAAAAAGCACTTGTATATTTGTGCCTAGTAATTTTATGGCTTTAGTTTTTAATGTTTAAATCTTTAATTAACCTGGAATTTATTTTCATTGTAAAGTGAAAGTTAAAAATACAGTTTTATGTTTCTTTTTTTTTGTTTTTAAAATGGCTTATTAGTTTTACTCATATCTTTTATTAAATGCTCCATTTTCTTACACTTATCTGAAATGTATCTTTATTTCTAATAATTCCCGTTTTCCATTTCCCATTTATTTCCACACTCTGCACTATTTTATAGGTCTGTTTGTCCCTTCCTAGATCAGCATTACTAAAGCTGTATAATAGAGTCAAATATTACATTGGTGTAGTTCTGCCAGAAGAGCAGGAGAAAGGGGATAAAAGCCAGGAACCCGGACAGAAGAGCAGTCAGCCCCAGGGTTACAGGTGAGGAGAGACAACTCAGGGATGCCCAAAGTAGCAGGCGGGAAAAGCAGGAGAAATGGGATTAAAAGCCAGGAAGCCAGAGAGAAGAGCAATCAGCCGAAGGGATTAG